AATTTGAAAAATTAGTTGATTTAAATAAGTGCAAGAATACAAAATTACGGAATCATTGATGAATATAATAAACAATAAGGGTCCTAGAATAGATCCTTGAGGAACACCACGGTTTGAAAAAATATAATTACTAAAATTACTTCGGATTTTAACTCTATGTTCGGATTTTAACTCCATGTAAGTAAAGTACATCACAATCATTCAATTCTAGGAAAACAAACGAGGTTAAACTTGTTGAGATATATATTTTAAGACAGTTTGAATTTGGGTTTGAGGTACTGTTAGCATTTGCAAATGATTTATTGAATTGATCAGATCGTTTAAAATATCAGGTAAAGTAGGTGATTTGCTCTGATTACCAATAATACTATTTACAAGATCCCATTTTTGTTTATTTGAATCACAATTTAAAAATTTGATTTTGAAATATTCTGATTTTGCTGTTTTAATTAAGTTCTTAAGCTCAGAAACTATAGTGTTGTATGCTGTTTTGTAAATAATATCCCATGGATATTTTCAATTTTTTTTAAATGGTTTTTCCCTTCTTCGAATTAAAATCATGATATTACTAGTCATCCAATTATTTTCGGCTCTGTTGTTTGATTTATGCGTATATTTAAAATTATTTTTTAAATTATTAAGTTTGAAAACAAAACTTCGATATTGTTGATTAAGAGAATCTTGAGGATTGTAATTAAATTTGTAATTTGACAGACAATTATAGAGCTTATTATAGTTGATTGAAATCTTATAATGCGTATATTTGCTACTTTTATCACAGAATAGCAGGAAATACTTAATAGAATATCATGGGAGAAAAAAAAACCGTTTCTTATTGTATGAAAGCCATGTTAAAAAACATACAACAATCTATGATAATAAAAATATACATCTTTATTAGTTGTTTTTTCATGTAATATAAGAGTTTATGATAGTGGATTCAAATACCAATCAAGAGATGACAGGTTAGTATGTTGCTAACTTTTGAGTGTGATAGAATGGCTTTATTAAAACACTGGTGATTGTGAGCTCAACTCAAAAATCCTGAAAATTTCTTGAGTGAAATCATTAATTTCAAAAAATTAATGTCTTTATAAATTCAAATTTTTGATATTTTCCAAACATGAAATTCTAAATAAATTATATGCAGCATAATTTAAATGAATGAATGTATAAGCTTACCTTAGGGTGCATAACCAAATTTCTCAACAAAAAATAAACACCTTTTAAGCACTTTTTAAGCACTCAAAAAATATTTTTAAGCACTACATGCATTAACAAAATGAAAAATAATTTTCAAAGACTTTATATGATCATGATAAAGTAAATAGTTTTTGACAAAGAACTTTTTTCTTGAATATATTAACCATTATAAAACGTTCAAGAGATTTTCGGTTCGATATCAGATGGTGGAAAATGAAGACAAATTTTTTTTTTTTTTTTTTATTTTTCTTCTATTTTATAACCGTCGTTGAACAGCCGACCCAATTTCATGAGTTTACGACTACTTACGTTCAACTCCGTAGCCTTGTAATTTTGAACCAATCCAGAAGACAAGGAAACTCCTGGATCAGTACCCCCAGAGGTATTGATTTGTTGTGGGAACATGGAGGACTTTGAGACTCGACAGATTTAACGTGCATCAGTCACAATTTACTACACGGGGAGTCTTCGGCCGGCGAGGATCGAACCCACGACCTCTTGGATATGGGCCCAGCGCCCTACCGACCAGGCTATCCCGGCTGAAGACAAAAATTGAGACTATCTTGCAAAATGCATCAGATGAGAGTGCATATTACACATGAGAGTGCAATAATCTCACCGAACCCTGCTCAGTAGACGCATATGCGGACTCGCTGGTATTTCATCAAACATGTTAAATGATTAGTCTTTTCATAAACTATGGACCGACGGTAAGCCGAGATAGATTGTGGTTGAATAAATTGTAAAACGTTAAATAGAACAATGTGAAAAGCACGCTTCTGCATAATACATGGCGAAAATTGACACGGTAAAGAAAAAAAATCCCATTTTCGAAAAGGGAAATTTAAGCACTTTTTAAAAACACACAATGAAAAATAAAAGCTTTTAAAAGAAGTAACATTGAAAATAAGCACCTTTAAGCACTTTTTAAAAACGCTATGCACAATGTATAAGTTCATAATTTATAACACAATAATGCTTGCAAAAACTGCCTTTTAAAGTGTATTAAAGCATACAAGTTAAAAATTAACAATAATTGCAAAAACTGCATTAATGTGTTAAAAGCACACTATATTATGCTTCAAATACAATCGCAAGAACGGATAACAATCTTAACAACAGCTTAATACAAGAGATGTAACTTACTTTTATATGAGGTAATGGTCAACTTCTCTGTGAGTTTGATGCTTGTAAATCTATCTTACTAATGTTATCTTTTGAATAGGACTTTGGGGAACTGAAATTCATAGAAATTCCTTTGGAATGTTCTTCCTCTTTTTTTTTTGTTTCGATTTCTTCTTGCAACTTTCTGGATTTTCAATAACGCTTAAAGCTGATGATACAGCCTACTCTGGCCTTGTGGTGTAAATGATTCTAAAAGAAAATATCTCACTTAATGAACATGCGATTATAATACAATTCAAAATCTCAGAAAAGCTAGAAAATAATAAAAGCAATAATTTAAGCAAAAACTCAATTTCATTTAAAAATAGAAAAAATAGGTTTTATTTTAATTATGATTTATATTAAAAATGATTTGCGACCTGCAAAATCACGGAATTTAAATAAATTTTAAAAAAAATATGAGCACTGCAGGAAAAATACTTTTTCTTCTTCAGTAGCAGGTTTCAGTAGCCGATGACCTGCACACGAAGTCTAGCACTTTATGGCAGAACTGCTGAACGAGGAACAATACCGCACAACCTCAGTCTCTACGCAGACTGATCCAAGTGGTCACCCACCCGCACACTCACCGCAGCTGGTGATGCTTGACTTCGGTAATCTGCTGGGTCTTTATGATCTTGCGGACCATTTTTTAAAAGACGGAAATAAGAAACAAAATTCCCTGTATTTTCCCAGTTTCTAAAGAAAAACTCAAAATTCCCTGCATTTTCCCTGTTATTTTAAGTATTTTGCAGGTTTTCCCTATTCTCCCTGTGGAGTGGCAACCCTGTTCTTTATGGCATGAACTATATCAATATATTTTTTAAAAAAATGAACAGTAAAAAAATAAAATAAGAAACACTATAAACAAGGTTGTTGTTTTAACCATTTTCTTTCCTTTCTTTCTATAAAGGGAAGGAAAAAGGAATTATTTGATTTAAAATGGATTATTTATATTTAAGTCATTTTTTAAATTATTTAAAATAAAACACAAAATTTACTTACATGTATTACAACTACTAATTTATGTTTCTTCTAAAAATAAATAAATAATTAAAGATAATTTAATAAAAAATTTTCTTTAACTTAATAAATTTTTTTTTATTGTACTATTTCACTTATTATCGCACTGTTTTTTGTACTAAAAATCTATCAATGAAGCATTATATAATTGCTTCATTAGAAAGTTTGGTTTTGATAATTCAGCTAATCCTAATCTGTTTCTAATTAATTATTTATTATTGTTCAATTTTTGAACATAGTCAACTACCTCATCTTTTAAAATAATCTTTTAAGACTAAAATAATTATGCTTCTAAAATAATTATTCGTAATTTTGAATAGCTAAACATACTAAATTAATTTTAATACATGAAACATATCGTTGAAAAACATAAAAGTTAAGAAATACATAGAGGGCAAAAAATAAATGCTTGCTGATAAATTGTTTCACAATAAAAATAAAAACTTTAACTGTTTGCGGTGAATGAAATAGCATTACCTTTATTTACATTCTGGTTGAGTTACTTTATTATTTAAAAGTAATACATATTCAAATTCATAAGTAAGCAATTAACCACTTAACATATTTTTATAGTAAAGTTTTAGAAACATAACTAATTTCGCGGAATTTTCTATAATATGCAAAAACTAGAAATTTCTATTTAACCAAAAGAAATTTATAAAACCAGTGAGTTTGCAACTATGTACACTCTTACATCAAACTCTTTTTTCAATTTATAAACTGGGTCATTAACTACATAACAATGATTTTAGATTAACACCTAAACTGGATCTAGTTGCATGCCCTGTGTGGAGATAATTTACGGAGATTCTAAAATTTTGATTACGCCTTACTCTAATTAATACCTGAAAAAACTTCAATTCAATTTTTAACACTTAATTATTTTCAACTAGCATTTTTATAATAAATTGAGAGTTGAATAAAATTAAAGTTTCTCTTTCCTAGAAAATAAATAATTATCTCATTAAAATGTATTAAATAAAATGAAGATAATTTGTACAGAATTCTGAGAGAAGTCACAAAACTATAAAATTTTTCATTTTCTTTGTGAATGATGGGCAATACTGACTACAAAGTTTGCTTTAAGTTTCTGATATTAGAAAAAAATATAAGAGGATCAAATAACTTTAACAAAATGATTGAACAACAAAGTACAATAAAACCTCGATTATCTGATCTTCAATTTTCCACTTTAACCAAACTATCGAATATTCCAAGGATTTTTTTATTTTATTACTTTTTTTCATTCTCTATTTTTAAAGCCACGGAAAAAAATTAAGAACTTTATCCTCTAAACACTCAGCAACACGAAATTCATCTGCATGAGCAAACAGCTGGGGTAAGAAAAAGTCGTAAGTGCTTCTGAATATATAGAACGAGAAGATGCGACAGCAGTCACCCTGTGTTTCTCTGGAAAAAAATGGCAAAACATTGCAGCAAAAAATGCCTAAGTAAAATACAACAAGAAACAATTAGGAATTTCAAGTAAAAACTCCTAAGTAAGAATATGAATTGGATGTAGTGTATGTGTATGTATAATCCTTGTATTTTAAAATAAACATTTAAACCTAAAAAAATGTGTATTTCATCATAAACATTTAAACCTAAATAAATTATTTTACCTGCAATTTTCTCTCTAACCATGTTTATTGGTTAGTCTAGGTCCACATTTATTTGGATAATCGAGACTCTATTGTAATTTTAAAAAATAAGTTAACGTAACTAATAAAACTTCACACTACCATGATATATAAAGAACAGAGTTAGAAAATAAGTCATGAATGGTGGTGGCCTTATCATTAATGTAACCTAGAAAAAAATGAAATACATTTTTACTGAAATTACTCAACATTTTCTTTCAGTTATTTTTATATTACTTGCTATTTATATTAATTAGAAATTAATATGATAAATGTTGTAACTTTAAAATTAATTCAAAGGATAAATTTAAAAAAAATATATCTCACCCAAACAAAGAGAACGATCTCTGCTACCAACAGCACAGCAACAGAAATGTTCAACCTGTTAAAAATATATCAGTTAACAATTAAGAAAAAAAATCTCTCTAAAATACATTGGTTTAAAACTGTTTCTTATTATTGGTGCATTCTTAGAGACTAGAATTATTGAATTTCTAAATTTTCAAAGATTTCTTTGGTTGTCATCAATATAAAATCGGTAAAAGTTACATGAATTGTTTTTATTTATCCTTTAATTAAAGCAATATTTGTTTATCATTAGACCATAATATATTTCTCAACTAAAATTGGTTTATGACTCTGATTACTATTCAAAGTTAAATCTTAAAACAAAACCGGTGTTTCTTTATAATAAAGTATTCCTACAATGTTACCTTTATTTTTCAACATTTCACAATGAAAAAATTTAAAATGTTGAACATTTCCCAATTATTAATTAATTATTAAGTACAGTGCGCAAAAAATAAGCAAAACACCCTGAATAACTTTTGTTCTAAGGATTAGAATTTCAAGTACTAGGACTGAATCTCAAATATACTAATTAATTAGTGCAGAAGATATTTTAGGTTGTGAAATCAGACACAAAAACGTGTTTTTTCCAAATAAACAGGACGCTTAAATGGCAGATTATAATTTCTGACCACAAAGATATACGGAGATAGCCCAATCTAGAAAATATAAATGAATAATATGTTTGTATAATAATATCTTAAAATATAAATGTTTGAATCCCTAAATTTTAATTTTATTTTTTGCTTATTTCAATAATACTCACATAACTGCTTCATAAGATGTCACTGTATTCATTTATTTAAAAAAAAATTGGTTCAAATAACAAAAATATTTTGACCCTCTTATCATGAAATAAAGAACAGGTAATATGAAAAGTAACATTCAACCTAATCAGCCCAACATTTTTTTAAGCTTATTCAAGAAGCTATACTTTACATTTCACACATACGTTTAGATTACTTAGAAAATATAACATTTATTAAACATTAGCTTGATTAATTTATGGTTGTTTGCAATAAGCCCAGATTAATGAAAGCTTATTGTTTTTTTTTTCTATTTTCGATCTAACCTTTTCAAAGGCTAATCACCGAAATTTAATTAAATTTTGATGTAACTTAATAAACAGTACTAATAGTTAATAAAAGGAGCTGCTCTTAAATAAATAAAAAATTTATTAGCATTCTATTATCTAATAAGAAACAACTACCATATATTGTATTTCGGTTAATTAATATCAAAAGTGTAAATATTATATAGAATATATGAAAACCTAATAGAATAAAAAACACCCAATGAAAAAAGCGCCTTTAAGGTCTTTTAAAAACCGAAAATAATCATCTTTAAGAACTTTTAAAAAACGTTTTACACCCTCATCAGATAGGTTAGAAATTAGTATTCACTTTTCTAACTAGTCTGGCACATTGTGTAATGTCAGCTTCCAAAGGACTTAGTTTTTTTAATCATACCAATACCAATAACCATACCAATAACAATGTATAAAACACAGGTAATTAAATTGAATATGTAACAAATAAACAAAATACGAGAGCTGTTGCAAACTTGTAGCAATGTTTTATTTCTGACAAATTGAGTAAACTGTAGAAATTGATGACATGCGAGAACGGTACTCGAACTGTGCAGTACTTAATTTGTCGTTCAAGACAGAACTAAAACCAAGCACACTGATAAAATTGTGTATTGGAGTATTAAATATGATTAAAAAGTAAGCCTGAAGTTGTCCTCAATGATCACCAGGTGATTTTTTTAACATTTCTTTTGACCTAAAATTGCATATCATTAAAAATGCTAAATTGCCTGTTTTTTTTCAATTACAACTCTCTGTTAAAGTAAATTGACTAAAATTTTAAAACAATTGAATCTAGCAATGATTGAATCTTTAACTTATTTATTTAAAAAGACTAATTATTATTTAGAGTTATTTAATAGACATAGCCCTCATAAAGAAAAAATCATTACAAGAGATATAGAAATACGCTTAACTGTAATAACATGCATTCTAAAAGGAAAAAAAATATTCTCTAGCTAAGAAAAAAAACATTTAAAAAATACACACCTACAGAGTGTCCCTTTAATGTACTAACGCATCTCCAATGTTCCACGTTTCCCATTACTTCCAAATGCTGTAGAGCCAAGACCATATCTATTGCGTACAAAAAGTGGTTTACTTCATTAAAAATTTAATAAATGAAAACGTTTAGAAAATTACAAGTAATTATTGGCAAGGTATAAACTAATGTAAACTAAAAGTAACTAAAATTACAGTATCACAAAATAGGATCATTGATAGGAATATACTTTTTTTTAAAAGAAACCGATTTCGTCTGTGACAGTGGAAAAATGCAACAACAAAAAAAAAATGGATAAAATGGATGTAATAGAACTAGTCAAAATATAGTTGTAAATATAGTCAATCTCAAAATGTAGTTGATTCTCCATGCAAAAAATAAATAAATAACACTGGCTATAAATACCATAAATGCAACCCACAGAATATTTTCAGGGACCGATCAAAACAAATTCAGGCCCAAGGCCCACAAATTTTCCGGACCCCTAACAAAATATTTTGAAATTAAATTTCTGAAAAGTAGTCGTAACTATAAAAAGAATCTATTGAACTGCATGATTCAAGACAAACATTCTAAAAATTTTTGAAAGCAGACAATTGAAGATTATTTTTCTAAGATAAAGTTTCCGCGCATCTAAATAGTAAAGCTAAATATAAAACAACAAAACAATGTTGTATAAAAATAAAAACGGTTTGGTGACCAAAAACAAGTGAAATCAGTGATTTTTGCTATAAGTCACTGATTAGTTGAATTATTTTAAAGATTGTAGCCTTCCATCTACAGTTTTACACATTTGTTAAGAATAAGCTTTTAGTTCTTGTTGACACTAATCATTTCAGGGTTCATGCAGAGATCAGAAGAAGAAATCCAAGGAGTATCCAAGGAAGCCAAAATTTTAAGGACTTATCAAAAATTTAAGTAAAAGATAACTAGATAGTTTTTTTTTTAATTAAAGAGCAGTTATTATAAAGAACTTGCAAAAATATATATTTTGCATAAGATTTTTTCTTCTAGCCATTTTAAAATAAATTTTGACTTTGTCAAACTTCATCAAGAAAAATAAATTAAAGTTATCACTTTCACACATAAATACATTTTCCAGTTTCAAATATTTTAATAAATCTTGTTTAAGTACATAATACAGATGTTTAAGATCCCTGTGGCAGAATTTTTTTGGACTTTCTGCGACTTACCTCTCTATTACTAATATCTTTCTGCAAGATACTTTTAAAAATAACAAATATACATGTCACTAAATTAAAGTAACAAAAGCATCAACTTCACAAAAAAAAAGAAAAAAGAAAGAAATCTTTTGTATCAAATAAAGAATTTTTTAATTAAATATATAAAAAAAATTTTTATCCTAATATTATGGGCTATATTCTTGCATTTCATAGTGGGAAAACAAATTATTTCCTTTTTCGCATTAAAAAATCGTGAAATCTGTAGCAGTAAATCGGACTCTTCAAAAAAGGGTTACTAAATGCACGTTTTCATTTCGAGATTCAGTTGTTTTAATAAATAATGTATTAAAAATATCAGATTTTAAAACTATGTGGAAATAGTAATAGCTGCATTAAAAAAATTAGAATGAAATTTTCTGCCGAAAAGAAAACCAAAATTTTTTTCATTTATCTTTATTTTTCAATGTTCTCAAATGAGAATAGAAAAAGCATTTTTTTTCTACTCAGATACACGAGAAGGGCATCTTTTGAATATAAATCTGAAGTTTATTTTGAAACTTTCTGCTGAAAAAAAAAACTTTTAACTTCCGAAAAAAAAAATCCTTCTGCAAGAACTTGGTAATATTCTGCGACAATATCGCCACGATTCTGCCACAGGGTTAAAGATTAACATAAAAACCTACTAATCTTATATTTATAAATTTGAATACATAAAGCAAATTTGAATATATAGTCATTTTATACAAAAAATAATCACAGTAAATCATTAATTAAGTTTGCTTGTAACATGTAAAATTAAAATTATTAGCTGTTAATTTTCTTCTAACCCTTGCAATTCAATTTTTTTTTCTTTTTAAGTTTTTCTTAAACTCTTAGATTTTGACAGTTTGCATATCATTTCGCTTCCCTGCTTGGACAGCAAATTCATCAGTGGATTTAGTAAATTCATCTAAGCAACACAATAATCTAAGGAGTTTGTAAGGACTAATTTGGAAATCTAAGTAGTTCCAAGTACTCCTTGGAGACTTTTTTTTATTTCTAAGGAGTATAAGGAGTCTGTACGAACCCTAACATTTACAATGTTTGAAGTTATAAGTTACTGCCAAGTCATGTAACATCCCAATAAAATTTAAACAAACCAAACCTAAACATGATTTTTTCATTATTTTAAAATTTAATAAGTTTCTCAGTCATTTTAGTAATGAATGCAGCATTTGAGCTTTTTAGCTATCATCGATGGCTACAGTAGAACCAAGCATAATCACGGAAACAGGGATATGTTAGAAAACCGAAATCATTGGATAATCGGGAGAACTTTTAAAGGAGACGTTTTAACATACGAATATTGAAATGATTTTTACTTAGTTTTTTCACCACTAAACACTTTCAAAAGAATTATTAGTGAATTTGGTTAATATTATATTCAACTGTAAAAAAGAGTATTAAGCTTCAGCTTTAAAAGCACTGCTTTCAACAGCTATGGTTTTCATCATAAAATTTATCACAATGTATTGGAATGGGGTGATTATCTTCAGAAGCAGTGTAAAAATATAACAGTGTAAAAATATAATCAACGGTGTAAAAATAAAATAAAATACAAGTCAGAAAGTGTTTTGAAATGGAAAAATAAAAAACAGAAGAAATACTTTAAATTAAATAAATATTGATTCCACAAGTGTCTAAAATATTTCTTAAGAAAATTTTCAAATTACATATGAAAATAATTTATTTGCTTTATAGATATGAATAAATAATTTATATATTCAAATCTATGGAGATTTTAATATACTAAACCAGATCATATTTTATCAACTAAAGAACAATGTTTTAGCGGATAACTATACAATTTTGTAGAAATAGCTTTAGAAGAGCTTGTGATAAGGAATAACTCTGATAAAGTTTAAAATCATATATTTTGGTCAAAAACTAAAAAAATTTTGTTAAGTTAATCTGATTTTGTGTCGAAATATATGTAAGAAAATTGGTTGCGTTATCAATTATATACCAATAGTACAAACTGTTGAAAATATTCAAGACCTGTAAAATTTAGAGTTAGCAAAAAATCATAGCTTTTTAATATATATATATGAAACATGAGAGAAAATTATATATAAGATTATCAGATTTTTTTAAAAAAAACTTTCCTTTATCAATTAAATTTCTGATAAAAAATCAGTATTAATAATGATCAATATTTCTAGCTGTTTAATATTTTAATAAATTTCTATAGATAATGGCGAATTTTAATGAGATATCAAATGAGGAGTAAATTAATTTAAAGAAACATAATAAAAACTAATGGTTACTTTTAGTAGAACAATTCTTTCTGTATTATTATATAATCCAAATTTAAAAAGTTTTACAAGTACTTGCATTTAAATAAACAGTAAATTACTTTATATACAGCTAATGGAAAATTTAAATTTAAATGTTTCATGCGTTATTTTCATCCACATTTATTTTTTATTTATTAGTCTATTTTGAACATCAATGAATTATTTACATTCATTTCAATCTCGGGACAAAACCTTTAATTGTATTGAAATTATAATTTAAAATAAAAATTATATTTATTTAATAAAGTATATTTAAAAATTATTATAAAAAATATTTTCCAAGTTAAATTTATGATTTCTTAAAAGAAAAAAAATCTAGGTATAAATTAATAATTTAAAAAAAAATTAGGTTACTTAAATTGCAAATAAAATAGAACCATGGTACAAGATAAATTTTTAACTACTCAAAAATGACCATCTTATTCAACAGACTTGAATCCATTGAAAATTCAGTATAGTCCATCTTGGGTAAAACTTCATAAGAATATGGCACCCATAAAAAATCCTCGTGTAAAGAATTGGACAGAATATTAACAGGTGAGTCACAGCACGTAGCAGAAAAGTTTAGGACATGGTGACAGCTCCGAATTAAGGCTAAAGATAGTCACTCTGTCATATTTAGCAACTATTTACAGGTGATAATGTTTTCATGAGTTCAGACATATTAAAGCGAATATGCGTTATTTTTTGTCACTCAGTATAATTTGAATATTTTACATCATTGTTCAATTAAAATAGTCATGATATTTGTTTCATACCTGACTTTTAGCTCGAATTCTAATGTGACCAGTCACTGGAGCCTCATGATGAACAGGATTTTTCTCAATGCTTACATTAGCTAGGGCATATTCACCAAAAATAGAACGGGCATATAAATTAGCAGCCATGAAACCACATTCACCAGACAGGGCCTACATGAAAAGA